CTGGTGCAAATTACTGACCTCTGTCATCATTTTAAGTGGGGGAACTTGCACAATCGGTGGCTGACTAAATACTTTTTTGCCCCACTGTATATGTTGTAAATAAATGCAACAGTGAAAAAGGAAAATACTTTTCAAATTAGCGATCCTACTTTTTTGCCTAAATATTAGCACGGGTATTTGTGGATGTTATTCTTACAGTGTACTTTTAATAGTAATTATATAATAATAATAACTTTATTTATAAAGTGCTTTCAAACAAAGTGCCGTACAACTATTTGAAACTAAAAAGATAAATAGTAGGGCTGCACAATTTTGCATAAAATGAGAATCCCGATTTTTTGGCTTAGAATTGAGATCACGATTCTCTCACGATTTTCTTTTCCAGTATAAATATTTATTGCACTTATTAACTGCACATCAACTTCGTAACAGTTGAGATTGAACATAAAAACAACAAATAAACATAAAAACAATAAATGTCTCACATTTTGTTGTTGCCGCAAAATGTTGTACTGCTTGTAATTCCGTCTCCACCGTTGCTCGACACTGCGTGTATAGAGCAGGTAGTGCAACAATAGAAAAATAGTTGCGGGACGGCACTGTGTAGCGTTTGTTTAGGATGTTGATAATTTTCCTAAGTCCCTCGTTTTGCACAGTGTTGATGGGAGCCATATCTTTGGTCAGGTGATAAGTGATAGCTTCCGTAATTTCTTTGTGCCTGCTGGAGTTCGACGGGTATGGGGAGGCGCTGTATAAGGTTCCTGATATTGATGTTTGGGTGGTTGACCGGGACAGATTTTTTCCAGTCACTTTCTTGGCCTTTACAGCTTCGTCATCTCTCACATGCTCTCCGTTGTTTTTTCCCTGCCAGCTGACTTCTGTATCACGTGGTATAAGCCTCCGCCCTTGTCATTTGTTGAGCAGGAAGAGTGAGCGCGTGTTTTCATGCAGCTTATGTCCCGGATCAAAATGCGTACAATCTTCATTTTTTTTTCTTTTTTCTTTTAAATCGTTGTCATTTCGAAATTAGATCGCGATTTTCTAACGATTAATTGTGCAGCCCTAATACATAGCAATACAAGTAAAAAACATAATACAAGTTAAAAACGGTAAGAATTTACAAACTATTTTTGCTATTAACTGTTATGCTTTTCTTAGGCTACGTCCACACTGGTGGAAAAATGTCGAGGAAAAGCACCAAGTTTTTTTAAATGGACTAACAATGAGGTGGAGTTGTGCTCCGAGTAACACAAAAGTACAAAGTTGCAAAAGCGAGTGAGAATTAAAGAATTTGAAGAAAAGCTATCTGAAGCATGTACAAACTGATATTAATCTTTAATAGGGCTGTCAAAATTGAGAGCAAACAAAACAACTGCTGTATAATGCCCTCCGCTATCTTTAATTGGTCACATGACTGCATCATATGACTAACATGTGTCATTGCTTTTAAAAGTCTCCGTTTTCGCTGTCCACACTGCGACGCGAAAGCATCATCTTCAAATGTATGCGTTTTCGAGAGCGTTTTGAAAACGCTGCGCTTTCTTTCGGGGAAAATGCTGTCTCGGTGTGGACGGGAGGCCAAAACGGAGAGAAAACAATGCATTTTCGTTTGAAAACGATTCATGGATCCATCCATTAGTGTGGATGTAGCCTTAATTCAAAATCGTGTGAAAGTCTTTACTGCATACTGCTACTGGCTGAGTACCTGCTTGCATGTGTCAACTTGATTAATGGAGCTGATTACAACTGGCTATATTACTGTCAGTGCAAAAGCCTCTTCCCAACAAGTATTGATTTAATCAGTCAGAACATAATGAGAGAGGGAGAGAGATGACATTGTACTAATTTGACAGCTGTTTGCGGTTTACTCACAGTGTTAAGGTTCAAAATATTGGGGATGGACACCAGAAGAAAAACCCACAATAACAACACTGGTCCGGTCGGGTTGAGTCAAACGATGATTTAATGATCACACACGTGGGAGATGGACACTGT